ATTGAATCAAGACTGGTAGATATATAGACATGAGTAGATGGACAGAGGGAAGAAAGGAAGGACCAAAAAATGCAGACCACAGTTAAATCCATCACATTACATATCCCCAGGCTGAGAAACAGAAAACAGCCTAGCATCCCCCTGTAGTCTTCCTACAGGTCTTTCCCCTCTAATCTTTCTGGAGTCTTATAGGACAGTTCTCCAAGGACACTCACCCACTTCTAACTTGTTCTCAAGAATAGCCTCAGGATACGCTAGGGAATGAAATATCTTGAGCAGACCAGAAACAGTCACCTTCAGAAACAGGAAATATTTCAACACTAGCACAGCAAATCACAACATCTCAGCATAAAATCCAGAGCAGCTTCCTTTATAGGTTCCCCCAGCTGCTGCATAAGTGCAGCACAGGACTAGAACCATATGTCCTGGGCAAGGGCAGCCTTAGGAGTCTGACTCACAATGAACTCAGGCTTCCATTGTCCCTTTCTACCTACTTGAGTCCTTTCATGAATATGATACACTTTTCTCAGTGAGCTCAGACAAGGCGGTAACCTGGACCTGCTTCTTGGGCATCTTTCATCCCTACTCCCCTTGCTTCTCTGTGAGTTGACCGACCTCTCTCCTCAAAAATCCTTCAATCCCCAAGATATCCAGGGCATGGTAAAAAAGAGGTGTTTGGGACTATTTTCATCTCTTGATTCCTGGCAGCTAAGGAACATAGAAAATGAATCAAAAGAAGAGAGGGGCAGGAATAGCCAGGCCATGGGGGTAAAAATCTTGGTAAAATCAGATTGCATCTGATTTTAAAGAACTTTCGTTTGGCTTTGCTCATCCACAGGAGGACTGGAGCTAGATGGCAGCTATGCAGGTCTGCTGGGTGGACCTTGGGGAATCTGAGAGGTGAAATTCCCTCACCTTGCCCTGCTCCTGTAATTGTGTCCCCAGAATGTGAGGGACTGTCTCATCTTCCCTACTCCTCCAAGCCCCACAGATATTAGAACTATAGAGAGGTGTGGTGTATTAGTTCTTAGTTTCTTCTCTGTACCTGTCATAAAATAATCTGACAAAAGTAACTTAAGGGTGAAAGGGTTTATTTTAGCTCTCAGTTTAAGGTACAGTCTGTCCACCATGTCGGAAAAGTGAAGGCAAGGGCTGCTTACTCTTTACTCTAACCCTGACGCCACCCTTGAGAATGACAATTCAAATACCTCATGAGGTCAGTACTGCAAACTTTCCCTAAGGATAATAATGCACACACACACACACACACACACACACACACACACACACACACACACACACACACACACTATTTAAATTTATTATGTACATTGGTTGGGGTTTATTTCATTTTTAATTATGAGGAAAAATATGCACATGAGGACTGGTGCCCTTGAAGGTCAGAGGTATCACCTCTCCCTAGAGCTGGAATTACAGGTGGTTGTGAGCCACCCAATGTGGGTGCTGGGACTACACTGTACCTCTTATCCAAACTCTTGACTGCTGTCATTGTCAGAACAGAAACCAAGGAGTAAGAAACTAATGGACCTACTAAGAAGTTTAAGAGAGACCTCTCCTTCCCCCAAAGCGTCCACAAACAGGAAAACAGTGTGGAACCCACGAAATGAGAAAGTATTGTTACAAACTCATACTTCATTCAGTTCCAATAATAACACCACAAAGCATCCAACTCCAAAGATTTAAGGAGAAGGTCTCCAACTGTTACACTTTAGATGCCTGTTACAAGAGTCCCCAAGACACGTATCAACAAGCTGAAAATCTGATATAAATAAGATGGGCACACCACTTCCTAGACATTCAATAGCATTTGACTACATGACTGTGAAAAACATAAAAACCACTGTCGCAGCTGGAGAGGTGGGGCGATGACCCTCTGACCATTAGAAACAGTTCCATACCCTAGCTAGCTCTAGGCTGTATTCTCTCTGGTGACCTATTCCTTCTGGCCTGAGGTCATTCAAGAACTGGGCAAGCAAAAAAAAAAAAAAAAAAAAAAAAAAAAAGACAGGGGCAAAGACAGAAAAGAGG